TTCTATTATTGCAAACTCAACTCATTGCCGGACGTCTCGACCCCTCAAAATAACCCTGAGGACAATTGAAAAAGTAGTACGTGTCCGTTTGCTCTCCACTTGAAAGGTCGCATGTTCTCAACTCATCTCAAGGGTGACTTCCTTTAACAACAAGTCATCGTTTGTCTCACGGGACGTACAACGACCTCCCTCAAAAAGTACACAAATTGCAAAACAATAATACTAGGTCGATTTCAGGAAATCTTATAGTACGTCGAATTTAAACAGGTCTAATAAGCACGACTATAAAAATTTTCGAACGGTGGTCACGCTGATGTATGTTGTTGCTTAGTAATGTAACCATACTGTTCATACTGACGTATTCATATTTTTTTGCGAATTGCAAGATCCGAAAGGAACTATTCAAACAAGTTTGTACTATACCTCAATCAAGGACATTGATTKAGACATCCATTGAGAATGAATGCTCATATCATGCCTTAAAAATTATTACGTAAGTAATTATTTAGTAAGTTATTTCACCTACTTTTTTACGGTGTTAAATTTATCTTTTTACTCAACTGTTTCTTTAGAAACACCGACGCAGCTCACACTAGTTTACCGCTAGTTCCACCATAGATWACAGCTTCTTTAGATCATGTAATCTCCGTTTGACAAAATCTTGACGAAAGGRGGYTCTCTTCGATTAGGAGACAGCCATTTTGAAAAAGTCTGATTCTTATTCAGTTTGCTAGCTAATCAATTAAATCTACAGACTATACAAATCATAACAGCTCAAATAACACTATATTTAAGTCTATAAAAYATCGTAACTTGATAAAATTGATAAAATGGCTTACCCAGTATACATTGCGCACAAGAAACTCCACATATTTCTAGCTTTTGAGGCGAATTCAGACTTTTTTGCTCATAAAAACAGATCTTTCTACGTTGCTTAGTGAGTAAGAACTACCATCGACACCCAGTGCTAATGCACRCAAAACATTCATGCAAAGAATAAATAAACACTTCTTAAATACCACCTAAGTTAAATATAACTTGATTTTGATTGGCTGTGAAGAATCATTATAACACGAAGTACAAACAAATATACCTAACTTAATTTTTTTATTGTCGAAAGCTGTTCGAAATGTTAATCATGGTAGATCAATTAAAAGGAAAAATGTCCTCCAGATTTGCTTTGACAACAATAATAATGCTCAGCTGTTAAGATGGCGGCGATAAATTGGAATCCGAGTCTAAATGGATAGTTCTCTGTAGTGTAGCCATCCCGTTTTCTGACGTTTTTTATCATCTTAAAAAAACATTAAAAATAGTTTTTTCTATAGCGCTGGTAAGAATGTAAATTCAACATGATATATATTATTTTCACCTTCATGCTAATAAATTTTGGCAGTTTTAAGTAACATTAAGGAATACTTTCTAAAAATTTCTTAACTGAAAAAAATAAGCCATAAAAACGTTATATATAAGCCTTGTTGACCTTCACAACGTTTGACACGAACAAAATTATTCTATAGAAGGAAGGTCACGACATTTGCTTGTGAGATTGTCAATAATGTACCTCAATGAATCCCTTTCCCAGGAAAAAATTTGTACAAGAACACCAGTTCAGTTTGAGAACAGACCCCGTCGGCTCCTCCTGATAACTCTTTATTTTTTCTTGCATTTAACTTGTATCACACTTTTTATAGTTTATTGTTCAATGAAAACGACACTATAACGACGAATACAAATTGAAGTGCGCATGCCCGCTGATATTTTTGAATTGTCCGGATTCTATCTAACCCAAAACCGCAAAGAAAATGCACAAGAAGAAGAAGAAGAAGAAGAAGAAGAAGAAGAAGAAGAAGAAGAAGAAGAAAAAGAAGAAGAAGAAGAAGAAGAAAAAGAAGAAGAAGAATTAGCATATCGGCTGTCTACTCATCAAGTGAAAATGCAGTTGACTCGTTTGCTTTTTACACCATGATAATAATTTATCTGTCTGAAACGATTTGAGAAACAAGATTTGTTSGTCGATAGTTAATCCCTTGTTTGTCTGAAACAATTTCTTTGTTTCCAAGAGTTGTGGTATTGCGGTTCCTTTGAGCGATAGCTAAACAACCAAGTTATCCATTTCCACTTCCTAACCCTAACCCCTCCTTCCCCGCCCATTCCATACAGAATTTACGATTCATAGACCTATATACAAATACGGCCGCCATCTTGACTTATGAAGAAATTATTGGGTGTCCAGGAGGCACATATTGGTAGGTACCGAAAAATTACTTTCTTAGTGTATTTGTAATTATTAAGGTTTTAAAGGACCCAAATGTGACTTGCTCCAGACGTGTCATGCATAATTGTCAGTGGCGGAGCCAGGGGGGTTCCATGTGTTCCTAGGAACACCCCTCAAGCATAAAAAAAATAAAAAATAAAAAATGATAAATGAAATAAAATGAAAACGCATCGTACAATGAATTTTTATTAAATACATTCACGCTACATTTGACATTTGCTACAGTTCGAGAGGCGCAGTAAAAAAGTTCGTTTTAGGAAAATGCGAAAACAAAGTGGAACCCCCCTTTGAAAAATTCTGGATCCGCCAATAATTGTCGATCGAATTGAATTTCGTAGCATTCTCAAAGCCGTGCATCTACAAGAGGGGATATTTTAGATTAGTGGATTAGTGAATTTTGCTGATTTTAGAATTCCATTTTCAGCTATCATTTTTTCGCTGGTTTACGTGCGGTTGCAGAAAAACTCAGTGCCATGATTTTGCAACGCGACTTTGTGGTTTCAATTCACTTTTCAGTGAAGACTTCGGTATGAAATACCGCATAAGAATACAGAAAATTAACGGTTTAGTCAATTGATTTTTTTGAAGCAGTTGACGGAAACAAGGAGAAAAAATTAACAAACATTGAGAATTCAAGATGGCGGCGAGTTGGTAACAAAAAGGTCTGTTAGACGAAAAATTACACAATTACATTTAGAATACTTACAGTTAAGTCATCCAAAGTTTGTCACATTTTGCGATCACGTTAGTATAATCTTTAGGTTATATAGCCCTTATAGCCGTTATGACGCGCTTAAAAAGTAATCTGTACCGAGCTGATGAAAATTTTGGCATAGATAACTTCAACGTGACGGTGTCCACAGGTTTAGTCAACAGCCCACACTCCTAACAACTTGACGTGCTACACTTAAATTACATCTACGCTTAACTTTAGATAGCGAACAACAACCAATTTTGTCTCACCACTTTCAATTAAGCGCCTGACGATTCATGTACTTCCCTTAACGACGTAATGAAGGCTATTAAAAGATGTTTTCCTCTCAATCAAGTAACAAGTAACTCAGTCTCAATCAAATGCCGGAAAAAACTTAGAATTGAGTTGATGATCTCTTGTCTGCTCTGTCTAGTGAGCTCTTTTCGATTGTAGATTAGCAAAGCGAACGTGACTAAAAAAACTTCTTCGATAGACTCGGTTATTTAAAAGTTGTAGATCTGTTGTGCGCTGGATTAAAAGCAGATCTGGGACTTTCCATATAGTTCTTATATTGAGCAACTTAATTATTATTTTTTCTGTAGACACTGAAAAACACACCATGATACGAAAAACTCTTTCTAATGCTTCAAATAAATAACATTAAACTTAAATTGCATCTGAAATTACGCTTTAGTTAATAAAAATTGGATTGTTTTTTCTGTGTTTGATCTATGRACATGTCAGCTATAATAAATTAAAGTGTTTGTGTACGGCCGGTGTAGGCCTGTTCAGGATTTCATATATCAATTGAAACTGATAGCAGCTTTTTAAGATTCGAAAAATACAGCTTTTAACAAATAACACAATTAGGGCACGTACAGAAAGTATATAAAAAGATTTTATTTCTATGATAGACCATATTTAGTTTCCTTTTCAATTTTATCATAAGACGTGCATAGAGATGATCATAAAGGAGCCATAATCACGTGTAAAATTATGTAGTGAGTCTTTTTTTGCTGTCTGGCAGGACTCATGTCTTTTTATAATCGCTTTGTATGTGCCTAATGAAATTGTTTGTCAAAAGTTATATTTTTCCGCTACGAATCRGTAATTGATAGCTCACAGTGGAAGATTTCTGCCCACGCCTTAGTTATAAATCTCAGAAAGTATACAGGCGCTTAGCGTCCTTTACGCATATACGCACGTGCGTACTAGTGGTAAGGAAATTATATAACAATTTTCGGGATTTTTTAAATATATTTTTCTTTGCTTGTTTTCTCCAGCCAAGGCTTTGTTATCAAAAAGAACCTCAAAACGCTTGAAATGGCAATTCCAAGAGTTAGAGCGGATTTCGTATGAGTGGGAAACGGACGGTACTGTACTGTGACCRTAATCGTACTGTAACCAAATTCTAGTGCCCCATTGGTTCACCAAAATTTTGCAGGCCAGGTCCGGTAACTGTGCGGTAACCGTGCGGTAACGGTGTCACACTCATACGAAATCCGCTCTATTATTTCAAAATTTCCTGGGGAGGACCCCCAGACCCCACTTAATACTCCCGCCTTCGGTGGTCGCTAGCCCCCCAATCCATAATATGTGTCGAGCTCAATGACATGTGCGTACTAGACATTAAAGTCCACGCTACGCGCCTGATATATATAACTGTACACGGTGCGTTTGAGCTATACTATTTTTTTTCAGTTAAAGAAAGAAGGTAAGAAATATGGAAAAGAGAAAGATTGATTGAGTGAGTGAGTGATCGATCGATTGATTGATTGATTGATTTGATAAGTAAATAAAACAAAAGATCACGCTCTTACATTATTACACTTTAGAATTTCTTGGCCGGTRAAACAATAACTACAACGTGAAATGTCGAAAGTTCATTGTTTTTATGTAAAAGTCAGATCGAAAGTCAATTTAGTAAATCAAAGAAAACAATARCACGGGGGTGGGGAGGGGTGATTACTGGCTCATAATTSCTCAGCGGTTTCACCCCGGAAGGAAACCAAGAGGGCGTCGAAGAAGTCATGAAGAAGCTGAAGTTGTTTTGATTTGTGTGTAGTATTTTGCCAAATTTMTGCTCAAAAACATGGCTGTTTGGCGTCCATTAAAAAACCCAACTACAGGTGTTGGTAAGAAAACCAATTTTAATTACATTTGTTAGCTTAACCGTCTTGAATTTTTGTGTTTTGAACTCTGTTGGTCTGAGSCTGACTTCCTTAAGTAAGCTTAGAATGTTTTGATTTGATGGGTCTGTTCTTGTAGTGATCTACAATTTCAATGGCAAAGGAGCTCACAAACTTCAATTAMAGCTTGGAGAAACTGTGCAAATTCACGAGGAAAATGGGGGTAAGTTTAAATTTGAGTGGACAACTTTGATTTGCTTTAAAAAGTTGAGCTTTCTGCACGCTATATTTAAGTTAAAGTTCAAATGCTGATATCACTTAATTAAAGCATCTAATATCTTAAGAATTATTGCTTTTTGTAATTGAAAAATGGCCTGTCCTTTTTGTTATTATTTATTTTGTCATCAATTTTAATATATATTTTTATATGTCAAAATAGTTCTTTATTGTCTAATGATATCTTAATAATGTTGCCAATTTCCGGGTGTAAAGATTACTTTGCTGACATACTCTTTGAATATTTTAGATTGTATATTTGCTTTTTGCATGCACCTTGTATCTCTGTACATTTTTCTATTCATCAAATGCATGCTTTTTTTTCAAGATTTTTTTTCTGTTTTTGTCATTTTGCTGTTTATACATCAAATAGCATTTAATACTGCTCTTAATGTAAAAAGATTGACTAAAACACTTTAGAATATGTCATGGCATTGAAACAGCAACACTATGGCCCAACAGATAGTTTTATTGGATTGGATACTAAAATTTTAAATGTTTCAAGCTTTTAACACAGTGAACAGCACAACATTGTTAATATTACTTCCACATAAGATAGCTTCCAACTTTCCCTTTTTATTTGTCTCTTAGTCTCCCAGAAAAGGAACCRTATCCCCCATATATAATTGTTCAAATTGACAAATGCTGGTAATTTATTACACTGCAAATGGCCTAGACTTTTTTTCATAAGTTACCAAAACACTRTCTAACTAGATTTTGAATCAGGGACAGAATTGTCGGTTGTTATGCCAGTTATGTAAATGTGCCTATCGTCACAGGATCATGACAGGAGGTCATTTATGCTAATTAGCATATTGACTATTCCTCAAGTCTCCAGTTTTGAGAATTCTAGGGGTGGGAGGTCTGCTTAAATTATAGTAAATTATCTCACAGGTTTGAGAAACCACTGTAATTGCTTTGAAATATTAAAGTAATACTATATATATTTGCCTCATATTTTTCTTTKTAGTTGACTTCAACGTGTCTTTATTCTCAACGCACTAAGAATTTTTAGAATGAAACAAGTTTTGTTTATTTACAAACCTTTTAAATCACTAATAAATTGTTACAATTCGTTGCATGTTTCAAATATAGCACGCTCTGAGAGATCGCACTGGTGAAGCACATGCTTAGAATCATAATTATACAAATACAATAACATTTAAATACTTAATAAACTAAAACTAAATAAAATTCCTTGTCATTGATGGCTCTTGGTATTTTTAGATGATTCCACTAAGTCTTATTGTTGATATATTTGACTATTTGTTTTAGGATGGTATCGTGGATATTCACATTCCAATAAGGGCGCTGTGGTAAGAGCAGTAAATTCAACACTATCATAATATTAATGATTATTATGATATTTGTAAAACGTGTTATGCTATACTGTATATAGACAGCTTTATTTCATCATGCAGCAATAATTTTCAGATAATCTTAAATACTATTAAAGACTATTGAGATATACCTAAAAGAATAAAATAATATGTTCTTAATACAATCATGTCCATTTTTGCAGGGAATTTTTCCTATTTCATATGTCAAAATAAAAGAAAACAGAGATGAAGAAGAGATGTAAGAAAAATTCTTGATTCTTGATATAAATACATGGATTGTATTATATTATCAGTCCCATGATTTTTTTCAATTCATTGTTCTCATAACATCTTTGCTGTATGTTCTAGTGATAGAGAAGACGAAAGCAGTGTCATTGAAGAAGTAACTTCTGTGTTGAGAGAATGGGGTGTAATCGCTCAAGCMCTTTACCTTGTAAGTATTCCTATACTTTTCATGTATAGCATGATATGTTTTTGTCTGTTTACATTGAAGTTGCATTTCTTTCTCTCAATGTCAAGCCTCTGCAGCAAGTCACACTTTTGAAACTCTTGATCAATCATTTACTAAGTAGATATTTAATTAAAGTTCCTATAGTTATCCTTAATATAACTCTAAAATACATATTTGAATAAATATTGTAAAATCCTTTGCACAATGATTGATGTATGATCTGGAAAGTATTAATGAAGGACTAAATGTAGAAGGTGGAATGAGAAAATATAAAGCAGAAAAATGAACAAAAAGTTGCCTACAAACAAGGACAGAAATGCAGAAACAATTGACTATTCTCAAAATTCCTCTATGTTGGACTTTTTCAGGAAAGAAAAGTTGAAGATTTTGAACTGACGTACAATCTGATAACAGAGCTAATAGAGGCTAGGAGACAAATAATTATGTCCGAGACGCTGGTTGACACTCAATTCAAGCAACTTAAGCAAAAAGTTGCTTCAACAATTGATTATGGAAACAAGTATGTGAATTCATGAATTCATGATTTAGGTATAATTAGTGTGATGTCTTAACTACAAGGATTGACTATAGATTTACTAATGTTTAATGTGCAAATTCAGACAATTGACAGGGAATACATGTAGTGAACTGTATAGTAATTGATAAAAATTGTAGTTATAATGCTGTTAAAGGGCTACTTGGATGAAAATTGCAAAACATTAGACAAGACTTGGAAATCAAATAGACCTATCCGTATGGGTATAATAATCATGAAGCAACAGATTTTAAGAAGATATTGAATCCTTAATAATTTGGGCAAAAAATGTTGGAGGAAATGATGTCATGGGTTAGATTCCAATTGAAGCCCAAAAGTTTTTTGGGCGATCCATACATTTTTAATCGCTTCAAAGATTATTATCTACATTGCAACAATCATATACATTCATTTCACATAATATTGGGTCTGTAAAGTGATCCAGAGCAATTAAATATTATCCTTAAATGCATAGCACAAGGTAATGAGAGAAATGGCACGTGTAGTACATGTACTTATTATACTCACTATGTATTTACTTCCTTTGGGCAACTGCAGAATTTACATGTAATTCATAGCACTGTATGTAGATATGAGATTAATCTACAACTGGAACTGATTATTTTTGATAATACAAAATTTACAATATTTTAAGGTGTCTTGGGTTGGACTTGGTTGTCAGGGATGAAGATGGCAACACCATAGACCCAGAATCTACTGGAGTTATCGAACTATATAGAAAGGTAATAATATAATATTGAAATATTTCTTTTGTGTTTACAATTAGACAACGAAGTTGAGTATATTACAAGCTGATAGTCCATGAGAACATACTCAATCGAATGTTCACAACAGTGAGTGGTCTAATTGTTTTGGTATCCAACAAATTATAGGGCATATTTGAAAAAGACCATA